GGAAGTTTTGAAGAGTAATGGCCAGGTGTTTTTCAGAGTGTCCTTCACTTGGGTTTTATCTCATGTTTTTCTCAGGTTACATGATTTTGAGATGAAGACCACAGAGATAATGTGCCATTCTTGACACCTTGTATCAAGGGTACACAGTATCAGTGAATGCTTGCATTGTTCATGCTAAACTCATCCCCTGGCTGAGACAGTGTTTGTCACATTCCTCAGTGAGAGTCACCCTCATTCCTCCATGCATACTGTACTCTTCAAAAGGAAATCACATTGTCCAAACTCTGTGAAGCCCACATTTAAAAGGCAGGGAGCTGTGTTCTACTTCTGTGAGCCCCTCTTTCTTCAAGCTGAGCTGTTGTGAGTCTGCTGTGTACCTTCATCATTTGTGGGTCAGCCACAGATGTGGGTCAGCCACAGATGTGGGTGAAAAGAATCTAGGGACCCTCTTTCTTACTATTTTCCTTCTGTCATTTCTTCTTGTCTCCTCAGAGACAAGTTTCCCCAGACTCAGCATTTTTCTTCCTTAACTCAGGAAGACTATGGTTGTGCCACCCACCTGGCTGTGAGTCCCAGCTTCAAGTTACAAACTGGAATGTGGGAAATTTCTTTATGTGACTTTGCCCTCCTGGTTTGTGTTCCTTGACAGAATAGTCCTTCTTGTTCACACTTCTATGCCTTTCCAAGCATCTACTTTTTGTATAAAGTCAGATTGGATAGTACTTTTCTTCAGGGCAGTTGATTTGGTAGCATGTTACTCAATCATTACAGAAAGAAAATTCCTGGCCTCTATGTTGTATATACTGTAGTAATGCATGTGGGAAGGATAGATTTTTTTTATCCAAAAGGACATATAATATAGGAGTGAAGGATTATGTAAAACCTATGATATCAGACAACATATCACTAAAGGTATATGACACAGGTAATTGTTTTAAACAATGATAATAGCTAGTGACAGCCTGGGTCATTATAAGCAACCCAATGAAAATATTTCTCAAAATGACTATTTGGCTTTTTAAAAAATATAGATAATATATATGGATTTGTACTAATCCTACCATACTCTCATTCCCTACTGACTTTAAATCCTGAATTGTGAATGTTCTCTCTGTATTGTACTTTTTTCTAGCTTAAGAAAAAAACTCACTAAAGCTCAAATTTAAAATGTATAGTAGAATATATATAATTTGAGAATTAATTTGTCTAGGTTAAATACTGTGTGTAAATATGTGCGTAAAACCTAAATATATATGTATATAATTTCTAATTATTTCTTAGACTTGGATGTCATAGATATATATAATATAGATATAATATACATGTCCATATATATAATATGCATACATCTCACACATAGTATTTTTAACATGATATATAAACACATACACATGTACATAAAAATAACTATACATACATATTCTTTTGTTCTGTTTCTTAAGCTGGATTTTAATTGAAGTATGTTACAAGTTTCACTAGAAGAGTTCCATGGTGAATGCCTAATATATTACAATCCTTCTCCAAATGCTTTAAAGAATTAATACAAGAAATTGAGATTCAAACATATTTTTCTTATTGAATGGTAAATCTATCCTATGTGATTTGGTCATCTAAGGCAAAGGTCCCATGGTGGGAATAAACTTGATGTGTGTGAAAGGTGGCAAGAGCATGTTGCCAGAGGATGGTGGTTGCTTGGAACAATGGTCTAAAATGACCTTAGAGGGCCGGGGATTTAGTTCAGTGATTTCATCACCTGCTGTGCAAGTGCAAGGACCAGAGTTCGATCCCCGGTACCAAAAAATAAATAAATAAATAAAT